CTGAGGAGTTCCCTCTACCTTGAAGGAAACATTAAGGGCAAGAGGAAGCAGCCCATCCCTCAATACGTTCTCGTAGATACTTACCTCAGTCAGACCTTAGGAGCATGTGACCGATGGTTGCCAATGATCTCGTCTTATATTCCTAGTGATGATGAGCATTCCCGGAGAGATTTTGTTGAAATGGTCTGAGACTGGGTGATACTATTGGGGAGAAGTAGACACGGTGTCACTTCATGTGAAAATTTTCTCTTCTTTCATTGTTTCAGTCCTGGCTTTTTCTCCTTCAAAGTTTTCTCTCTGGATCTTTCTCTTCTGTTTCTAGGACTACGCTGAAGATGAATTTTATGCTTCAAGAAGAGAGTCGATGACTCATGGAAAGTGTAATTGACAAAACATTGGCATGCTTTTCACTCTCTTTTCTTTTCCCCATCAACTGAGTAAGATTAGTGTCTTACATGGATTATTTTTTCAATAATAAGGAAGGTTATGTTGGCAACAAAAATCGCAAAACAGCAACATCATAAACTTGCATAACCATCCAGTGGAAGATATTTTCAACTTGAAAAACACCCTCTTGGTCCAGCAAACCAAGAACCTGAGTAACAATTACAACTGAAGTCATTAAACATTTGCTTTTTCTTTCCTATGGAGAAATTGGATCCCTTAGGATTCTTAGAGGGAAAAGCAGAAACACTAGAGGAAGACCTTACATAATAACCTTTCTATAATCTTGGATGGCACAAATGATTTTGTGAGACATTCAAGTCACATGTCATTAATCAGAAATGACAGTCTTTATTCACATATATTTGACTGAAGCTGCATAATTTTAGACTCCAATAGGTCTAGATAAATGACCCTAAGTATTGTACTTTTTCAAATTGACAATGATTGATGATGGAGGAAGAAACCGAATGCAGAAAAGGGACCCTGAAGTAAACACTGAAAATCAGTCATGCTACTTTGAGGGGAAAAAAAGTTTGGGGATTTTTCTTCTTCAAGGCATAGCCTCTTCCTTAGCATCCCTTTCTCTTCAATTTTCAGTTTAACCATTTGAGCATTGACAAGCCCTCTATATTACAGTGACAGTATTAATGTAAAACTGAGCCCGATTTAGTTATGTTTGTTCAAATAGTCCGGAAGAGAAGATAATAACAACTAATAAAAATTTATCCACTCAACAAGTATTTCCTGTGCCTATTATGTACCAGGTGCTATTCTATATGTTATATGCAGCAGAAACTAAGGTGAATATAGTTTTAGTTCTTTGGGAGCTCACATTTTAGTGGAGAGACACAGACAATATCTAAGTAAACAAATAAATGAGATCATTTCAGAGAGAGCTACACTGCACAAAGAAAAGAAAATAGAGTGATTTAATAGAAAGTGATGTAGGAGAGGGATTTCATTTGAGAAGTCAAGGAAGGCCTCTCTAAGGAGATGACATTTTAGCTGAATAGAAGCCAGTTTGTCAAAGAGCTGGTTATGCAGAGGGAGGAGACAATGCAAAGGCCCTGAGGCAGGGACGAGATTAGCACATGGGAAGAATAAAAAAGAGGCCAACATGATCTTTTCAGAAAGCAAGAGTGGTAGTAAGTCAAGATGTAGTAGTCAGGTTGGGGTGTTAGTCTATATAAGGTTTTAATAAAGCAGAAGGAAGAGTCAATCTCATTAAAATAACATCTATCATTCATTGGACGCTTACGAGCAAGGCATTGTGGCTGAGACACTACATTTACATCACTGTACAATGTCCTTGCTAAGAAAGGGTTATCACTGCCTGTAAAAGATAAGGAAATAACAAGCTCTGAGCAAGATCACAGAGCTGAGAAGCAACAGAGACAAGGTTCAGATTCAAACGTTGGTTCTTCTAGTTCCAAAGTAAAAAACTTACCCGTACCCAACACTGAGTCCTATCATCTATACGTTCTTATTTTCCCAGATATATTGAAGGAACTAATACACATATATACCATATTGTAATACATAAGAATGTTTATCAAGAGTGGATAGTGGGGTAGTTCATAAGGTCTATATCAAATGTTTTTGTGCATTTTTTTTTTTGCTTGATAATTGTTTGAGGCTACCTCTTACTAATTCTCCCTGGGGAATAGCCTTCCTAGATGATCTGAGTGGTGCCTCTGAGTTACCAGGTGTTATCAAACAGCTACTCACTTGTTCATTCATTCAATAATTTACTGAGTGGCCACCATGGCTGTAGATACTAAGAATATGATAGTGAATAAAAAAGCAAAAATCCCTCTCCTTATGAAGCTTACGTTCCAATGAAGATAATATCTTTGTGTCCTAATAAACTGAAGCTACTTCACCAAAGCTTTCCATAGTGCTGGTGGTCTTCCACTGCTACCATTTCTCTGGGGAAAAAAAAAGATATATGTGCTAAATATTCCAGGCATCATTATCATCATAAAAGTTTTAAGAAACATAAATAAATTAAGATAAAACACAATACTCCGAATCCTCACCCAATAAAAGCAGAATATAATATATAGCAAGATTGATGTATCAATTTTCCATCCAACATCAATTATAAATTAACATTTTTAAAGCATATACTATGGTCAAAAGTGCTAGGATAAAAAACTACAAAGATGAATCACACATGACACCTGCTCTCTTTAAGGTTACTGATCAACCAAGGATTGGGAAGAAAGAACCAAGATCAAGGTCTCGGGTCGTTTTTCTGTACTCAGTCTCATAAGTTTCACCTTATGCCTGTGCAGCTTAGTGTGTAGCCAAAGGCTCAAGGCAACACCTATGCAAAGCTGGGAGCTCTTACAAAGAATACTTCCTCCTCTCCTGTACTCTGCCTGACAAATCCCAGCTCCTAGGCCGCCCCAATCCCCTGTCTCTTTCTCCTCAAGTTGGTGAGACTGCTTTGCTTCCATTCTGTTACCCCACACTTTGCAATAAACCATAAAAGGGCTCAGGCAGAAAGTTTTGGTGATTCTTGGCCTCACCTCATTTGTCTCCCCTCTTTCAGAGATCACCATCTTGTGCCAACTGTTGTCCAATGTCTGAAACCATGGCGCAGGGGAAGTTAGGTAGCAATTACTCCGCCATAGTCAGAAGTGGAAGTCCAGCACCACTGATACCAGAGAACACATGGCAAATACGTTTTGACAGAGGAAAAATGTGCACAAGAGATCTCTCATTGGAAGCAGCGTAAGCTTCTGGTTAGGAAAATACCTTTGATGTCTGACCAATCTTGGTTCAAACAGTAGATCAGCATTTTGGTGACCTTGGGGGACATGATTTAGTATTAATCCTAACTGCTTCATGAGGTTAAAGTAAAGATTAAATGTGATCATGCACAGTAAGCCCATCGTGCAATACTAGCATAGAAAAAGAACTCCAAGAATATGCATGAAAAATAATGATGCGAATAATAACCGGGTAATAACTGAGTTAAAAAGTCTTGTGAGATGCTTCAGATAGTGAGGAAATAAAGAATCCCGCATGCATACAAAAGAAGACATTGGTAAGCACATAAGTGAGAGAGGACATTCAAAATTGTAAACTTAATCAGCTTCCCACTGTTGCCTTTGACCCCAGTGCTCAGACCAGTTAAATATTACTCACGTGATCTTTCAATGACAGGAAAGTGAGAAACAGGACAACTTGACAAAGAACAAGCAACTGGAGAGCAGGAGGCATGTCTTGCTCAGGCAGCACAGCACCTTATTAGAGTGGGGACCCTGTAAAGAACGTGGAATGTAAGAAGTGCATGTCAAAAACCATCATTCATTCACTCGGGCAGTAAATGTTTAATGACCATCTGTCTACTCTAGCTGGCACTCCAGGTTGCCTTCCAACAGGTATTGGGATCCCCCTTATCCATTCCCATGACAGATGCTACAACTGGATGATCCCTTTTCTCCCAGGTTCCCCGGCAGCTGGGCATGGTCACGTGATCCGGATCTGATGTGAAAGACATTAATTGTTCCCTCCTTTCCTTCTTTAAATATTCTCACGTGAGGTCTTGATGCTGCGGGTACAATATTCATCTGATGAATTTGAGGTGACAAGTCTGAGTGTGAAAACCAAGAAATTGCAAATGGTGGGATGGATGAAGAGAAAGAGCTAGGATTCTGTATGCGCTGTTAGACAACTAAGCCAAATGCAGAACCACTGACCTACAAACCTCTTATTATGTGAGAGACGTCAACATCTTCATTTTTTAGGTCCAGTAGGAGTGGAATTTTCTCTCCGTTTCAGATACAATCATTCAGATACCATGAGACTACCAAGATGTCAAGTCAGACGCTCCCATGAGGACCTTATAACAGGAAGCTAAGGAATGTATACACATAGCAAAAAAATGTAAATAAAGATTTTAAAAATGAATCACAGGTAAGAATTAAAATGTCCAGCTGGGTAAATCTTGGAAGTCTTAGCAGAATAAATAGACTTTAAGCTGGAATTCTTGTTGAACCTTTAACATAATTCATGTAAAGTAGAACATAATAAGTGAAGTGTCTTAAAGAAGTATAACTTACTCAGTTTAAAGATGGAAAAGAGAAAATAATATTCTTGGCATTCTTCTAGGCACTGTGGGACACAGGGAAAAAAATAAGGCATGTCTCTGCCCTCACGCAACTTCAAACCTTTCCTGGTGGTTATCAATGTTAGTACATCTGAAAGATTAAAGCATGTGAGTTTTCAAAGTAAGGGCCTTTTCCCTTGGACATGAGATCTGAGGAACAAGTTCAAGAGTGCCCTCTGGGAAGTTTCCAAGAAAGGTTTGTTGGCATCTCGGGAGGTGGTTTCCTGACTGGGCCTGTGGCACCTCAGCGAATTTCTCTGCTCTCCAGGGATGAGCCACACCCTCTGCAGTGAGCTGTGAATCTCAGACTTGTGGGAGCTCTCTCCCAAATTTATTCCTTCAGTATTTCTTTTTTTTTTTTACTATATAACTACATGTTCAGAACCAATGTTGAAAGATACCAGGGTAGTGGTTATTAACAGTGGGGATCGTAGGACTGATAGGGAGCAGAGGTAGATTTCTGTGCTTACGGAAATAGTTCATTTCTTCATCAGGATTTTAGTTACACCAGTGTATTAACTTTTCTAAAAAAGCTATTGAGCTGAATCAATATGGTTTGGGCAACTTTTCAATATGTAAGTTATACTTCAATTAAAAAGTTTTCTTAAACAACAATGGCATAAACTATGTAAGTAAACATAGACCCTCTAGAATAAGCTTCCCTATCTTCTATTCACTGAAAGACAGAATGGTTTGAACACCCTTCAGCACTCTTTTGAGATCTCTT